TGACCGCCCAAAAAAAATTTTTTTAATTAATTTTTTTATTTTTTTAGGTAGTTATTTCCTCCCTCAAGCTAGAATTTTGGAAACCCAAGTCTATCCCGTCATCTCGTTTTCCTGGAAATTCACAAAGAGCCAATCACATGCACGACAAAAGGGCCGGCCCGTCATATTGCCGCCCGCAGAGCCGAGGAAGTAACGCTTGGTCACAGACTTCTAGAAGATTCGCGTTCATTCTTGCACCGGACGTAACATTCGCCCTGTTTTCTTGTTCTCGAAAGTGCCAGTTCATCCTCGCCCCGAGCGCGTGACGCTCGAACCTTCTTTGCCGAACTTTCGAGATGGTGACGCACTGTAGAATGATAAGCAGCTGCCAGCGACCTTGTCAAGTTACTCTCGCTCTCGCTCTCGCTCTCTGTTATGCTGCCGAATCGCCGCCTGCTTTTCTGCTGCCTCGACGATCTTTCCTTACTTTTTTTGTTTGGCACAAGTTCGCCGATTAAACCTTTATTTTTTAGTTCACTATTGGTCCTCTCGTCACTTTCATTCGTATCAACATAAATCTGATCACATTGAAATATGTGTAATTGGCCTCTGAAATCTACGATAACGGCGCACAAGCAATTTTATATTTTTCAACGCGTCGTTGGTTTGGTTGTGCATGTGTCTCGCCATTTGGCTCAGGACGATGTTCGCGTTTTGTTCTGCATACATTTGCTGGAGACGTGAGCTCGGAGCGTGGCAACTGGCCCCCTTGCACGAGAGCTGGCGCAACCGTGCGCGTTCCAAAGAAAGCCCGTGCAGAGAAAAACAAGCAAGGGATCAGGGATGTCAAATTCAGGATATAGAAAAATACCCCACTGTATCGAAGCGCCACCATATACGATTTCTCAGATTGATGTACAGGCCAGGAAGGCGATCCCACCGCCATCTGTTGGTTCAGAATCACACTAACCAAGGGTGGGGTTGCACCTTAACGCGCAGCCTGCAGTTCAGTGAGCTTTTCGCAGAAAGAATCATGTGCTTTTATTCTACACAGATTTGTCGCATCATTCATGCAATCTGGCACTCGTTTCAATTGAGACTTGCGGCGTCACGAAAAAAAAAAATCTAAATAGCCACACCGGGCCGGGCCGGGCGTACTGCTCCTCTCTAACTATATTTCGTCTTAAGGCCGGTTCAGACACTTGCGTTTGAGTGCGTTTGACTGCGTTGCGTCGAGTACCGAAAGCGAGTCACCGGCACATCTGTGCTTCGTATGAAGCGTGGAATCCAATTCAAGGAATCATCTTGGCACGCGATATAAGCAGCAGGGATGCCCTGGTTTCTCGCTGCCGCAACGCAGTCAAACGCAGTCAAACGCAACTGTCTGAACCAGGCTTTACCTTAGCATGGACTAACCGCGAACGCTGTGCTAGCGCGAGCGGCTAGCCTTTACTGCCTTGACTGGAGCACTCGCTGCACGAGCGCTCATGCAGCCGCCGAGGCTTCCTTCGAAGCTACCTCGCGCTTTTAGCACGCGCGGCTAACAAGTACATACTAACGAGAAACGAAGTATAGAGTTCCTCGATATGCTCCCCCGAAAGGAACTCTATCTCTCACTAGAGTGCCTTCATACACACGCGCGCTTTTGCTTGAGTGGTGACATCTCAGCCATTTTCACGCCCAATTGTTTTTTTTTATCCACTTTGAAGTGCACGCAATACGGTGTTACTCAGCTCGAGCGCGCAGCTTTGGTTAATGCATAGACGCCATTTTATCGCCCAAGTCACGCACCGAGTGCGCGAGAGTGTCACGCGCTGGCACATTCAGTGCAACGATGGATGTCTTCACCCTGAGACAGACAGACATGCAGGCACCCTATCTCTCACTAGCGCGCGTGTGTATGAAGGCACTCTATCTCTCACCGATAACGAGCGCCACGGCTGTCGCTGCGGGGTAAAGTAGAACTATCGCTCTCACCGGTGGAGTGAGGCATACGGCAGGCCGCTTCCAAGGGGAGTCCTAATCGAGTGGCCGTGCCCCCACCAAAGACACGCTGCATGCCCATATAGGGAGTATTCACTGGCGGCCATAGCTGTGTGCGCGAATGCTGAGCGCGTGCTGGTGGCGAGCTTCCACAGTTCTTTTGCAACGCGCATACCGCACCATCAAGAGTGCGGTCTTAGCAGCCTATTAATGTGAGCTCGTTCGGAGCATGCGCTCTAAACAGCACTTACAAATATGGCGTCTAGTGAATACTCCCTATAGGGGGTATTCACTGGCGGCCATAGCTGTGTGCGCGAATGCTAAGCGCGTACTGATGGCAAACTTCCGCATGCTCAGAACGAGCTCACATTAATAGGCTGCTAAGACCGGCACTCTTGATGGTGCAGAATGCACGTTGCAAAAGAACTGTGGAAGCTCGCCATCAGCACGCGCTCAGCATTCGTGCACACAGCTATGGCCGCCAGTGAATACTCCCAATAGGAGGTATTCACTGGACGCCATATTTGAGGGCGATGTTTAGAGCGCCTGCTCAGAACGAGCTCATATTAATAGCCTGCTAAGACCGGCAACCTTGATGGTGCTAGATGCACGCTCCGAAAGGACCGCGGAGGCTCGCCGTCAGCACGCGCTCAGCAGCAGCGCACACGGATATGGCCGCCAGTGAATACTCCCTATAGTGATTACCTGATTGAAATAACTAAAGCATTCTTCCAAGCGCCATTGTGGGCAGAGCTTGCAACGCTCCTCCTTCCGTGCATTTTTTTTGTTTCTATTTGGCTGATAAAAAACGTGAAACGTTAGCAATTATTATTTAGAAAAAAAAATAATGAATTCTTGCAAATTAATTTTTTTAATTTGCCTGGCCTAAAAGTAATTGCAGTCAATACTTCAATTGCAACACGACTCCTAAAGCAAATAATTAAAATGTTCGATAATCTAATGGCCGCCGAGCCTGATAAACACATTAAAAAAAAAAAAAAATTTAGTTGGAGTTTAACGTTTTGTTTATCCTAGTAACATGCCTGAACTCTGATATTTCTCAATGGAAAGTAATAGATCTTCTCCGAAATTCAGTTTGGCCACTCTGGTAACTGTATGATCATCCATGTGTACCATCTGCACATGCTAATGGCGGCCATTTGGTGGGTACTGAACAAATAAGTTGAAGACGGCCACCTATGCGGAGCTTGGACATTCCAGGCGATAGTTCGTTCTGTTGCTGTTCTTTGTCACCGTGACGCATTTGAGAGCGTCATGTAAACCCTTTAACGTTCGGATTCGGCAGGCCCCAGACAGCTCATGCACATGACAGTCGAACGTGGTGAGTATTATAATAATAATAAATAATAATAATGTATTTTATTTTTCCCATTCTGGTTGGTACAAAAAGGGAGGACGTCAGGACAAAAAGCTGCGGTTGCAGCTTGACGAGGTCCTGGCGCCCTAACACACTTTGACGGGAAAGCAGCATTGGAAACACAACGAAAACAAACACAAAAAGTAAGTTAGTTTAGGAAAACATGAAGAGTTTTACTAAACTAAGTGCCTCGTACATAGTGGTAGTTTCTTGACACCATCGAAAACAAATTGACAAAACCCTGTACAGCGAAGAAGACCGTAAATTTCGTACGTCTGCCATTGATGAATAGGTGCAAGATCTCATCCTCAATAGACCGATCTCACCAGCCAGTTTCACTACGCAACCGCTACCGCAATGCATCGAGGGAACTTTAGTCCCTCTGCACGTGCGAAAACCTCGCTGGAGCATTGTGCGTGTGGAGCATGAGACGGCACGAGCCCTCGCATGCTCGGCTGTCTGCCTGCTGCGAAGCTGTTATTTTTACGATGTCTAGGACGATCCCTAGAGGGCAATGTCTAGGACGACTTCTAGGACGACCTTGAGGACGATGCCTAGAGATTATAACAAAGGATCAGGACCTCACTATCAAATAATGCAAAGGAAGGCTGACTCACTCTGGTTGCCCACTTTTCTTCTTTTTTTTTTTTTTTTTTTGGGGGGGGGGGGGGGGGGGGGGGTGGGGGGAGGATTTATTCATACTTGCCACGACTAATAGAGAGTTTTCTGTCCACATCCGCGGACGCATTTTTTTCCCGATCCTAGCGCATAACCGCTTCGCTGTTAAAAAATGCAGACTGATATTGGGAACAATATCAGTCTGTATCAATTATTGTAGCCCTGGATGTGTGAAAGGGTCTATTGCGAAGTAATTGCGCCGCAAACTTTTTTAAGCTAATGCGTAAAATAAATTCTGTTTTGTTCATCAGTAATTTTAATTCTAACTGACTACTTTTAGAGCATAGCAGTTGTAATTGCAATTAAATTACATTTCAGAAGTACTTTTTTCCGAGTATGGGCACGAGTGCATTCAACTCATAATAAAGTCTGGAGCGTGAAGATTGCATTTGAGCACTTTGTAAGCGGCAGACACCATCTAGCGAACTATCCAGATACGCGGCATGGTGGCGCCATCTATTCGTTGCAACCCAACCTAGCTAACGGAAGCAGTCTAGTTGTGGGGCGGCAGATGGCGCCAGCAGCCCAGTCAGGACGTGAAAACGGTTTATTTCACTCAGGCTGCTCTTGCCGCCAAGACTTTGAACAAAAATATAAAATATTATACTCCGCTTCACCCAACGCTTCACCTTATGTTGTACCGCAGCGAAGGCTAGAAGCAGTGACCGCAACGAGGTAGAGTGACCGGTTGTTACTGCCATAGACCCAATGGAGTCGATTTCTGGGCAAACTGGGCGCTCAGCAGCGCTGCCGTGGTCGGAGGCGCTCATTACTGCAACGAATCGAAGCCTCATTGCTCTATTAATAGATTGCGAAACTAAAATAAACAGCGATAATTATGTTCATAAAATGAAGCGCTAACGTTTTAATAATTATTTTTGACACCGCCAAGCTATTGCTAGCCAAGCCAGCTTGAGCGGCTTCCTAACCGTTTGCGAAGACGAAGCCGCCCAAATCCAACACGGCGCAGCCCCTCCGCCGTGCCCTGCCGCTGCTCCCTACCGCGGTACCGCCGGTACCGCGGTAGGTTTTGTTTGGAAATTTACGGTTCGCGCGTGCCATGCCACTTGTTATGGCAAAGAATTGTAAGTTCTGCTTGCCTACCTTGTGTCTAGCAGTTGACAGTCCGTTACTTGTCGTCGGCGTTTTCCAGGGAATCGAAACAGATGCATTTTTCGCACTCGTTGACGCATTTATTCAGTCATTTGCATGACAAGAAAAAACACTTTAAACAAACGTTGCTATGCGGAAAAAAATTAATAATGCGCGCAGTATCTACGTTAGCAAGAAGTGCCACAGTGAAGATACAATGTGCGACACTCTTAGCGCGAACATGACGTAGCTTTTTCACTTTAAAAGGCTATCGGCGCGCACCAACTCTTACCCTATTACTGCCTTAGTTCGCCAAGTGACTGTTCAAAGTTTTGTAATCCTCAGATGCAACTATGGCGCGGGAATATCTGTCTTCGCGATTTAAATACGCAATAGTCATGTCTCGCTAACATGGTCGATTGTTTCGGTTACGCCGCTATATAGGTCATATTTTCGGGGACTGATATCTGTCCCCGTACAATTCTAACTCATCACGTTAAATAAAGTGTATTCTATGGAATAATGGTCTCAGAGATCCCGAAGCGCGCGCACGAAGCGTTCGCGCGCTTCGGGATTTCGGAGGCCACGCAGTTACGAAACGAAAACCTAGATGGCGCTTCAAACGAAGGAAGCGGAAGGACCCTCTATCCATCCTGGGAAAAGTGGCGTCATTCATTGTTGTGAAAATGCTCGAGACGCGTGCCGCGCGCCACATCTGGCGATAACATGGGGTCTGGAATCTAGCTCAGTGCTGCGCTGTGCCGCCATGATCCTTCCAAGGGCTACACGTTGCACGTGTCTCGTGCATCAACGCACCTTGCTCTACTTTTGAAACATCAAGGGGCTTTACGGTAGGCGGGCTAAAGTGAGTGAGGGGAGTACCCCCTTCCGCAAGAGTTCCATAGCTGGGCAAGAATGAAGTGGAAGCTCCTCCCACCTCTTTCCGCTTTAGTAGTGCGAACGGTGGAGAGGAGGCGACCTCCTCTCTACCGTTCGCTCCGCTGAAGTGGAAAGGGCGGGAGGAGCTTCCACTTCGTTCTTGACCTGTCCCCGACGTTAGCGTTGGTCACTGCACACGAAAAATCCACGGAATCCTAGCCATAAACAGCTTCGCTGTAAAAAGCTAATCTGGGCTGTCAAAGAAAAGATTTGTAGATGAAACGTCGTTCGATTAACTGACTGCCACCGAAGCGTCTCTGTGTCAGGTCTTCATCACTTTGTGAAAAAACCTCAGAGGCAGCAATAACAACCGGCCTACATATGCGGCTCCCTCCGTGACCCGTGACCAAGGGACCAAGCTGGTCCCGAAACGTCGGGGAAATTTTGTTTATTAAACTTTGGTTAATTTTAAATTTCAGTGAGTCGCATAGCCAACCACCAGATTTCCCCGACTACAAAAAGGTAGCACAATTGGGCTCTTCATAGCCCAACCTGGCTACCCTGAGCAGGGCGTAAGAGGCTTTTCATTTGTGATAAGCTTAGCAAATGTTATCTATGCCATGCAGGTATACCCTGAAAGTGTACTTAAAGGGACACTGACACCCACCAAAATTTATTTTTTGCCAGGCGATTTATTTTGGTGTCACAAGATTACCAAGTCAATATTTTGCTAGAGCGTCACATATATTTTTAATAAAGTAAAAAAACTCAACAGCTCGAAACCGAAACCGGACTGGGGAGGAAGAAGAAATATAGAGAAGAGAGGTGGCGAAGTCACGTGGTTGTGATACTTTTCCCTTCCTAAACAACGCATTTGCAGCTTTTTAGATGCCACAAAAAATGAGTATTGTATTTCTTTTCCATTTTCAAAATTGTGTGTGTGCCTTCGATGACCTAAGACTTCGATTAAAGTTAGTGGTCGTGTCTAAACCTTCGAAAATGGCCAGTGACCACGGAGGAGAGTGTGAGCGTGACTCAAACCGGCCAGTTCTCGATGGGCAGTTTTCAGGCGGAAAGAAAACAAATTTCGAGCCGCAAATTCTGTTCTGGGTAGTGGGGCTCTCATGTGTTGTGTTTAACTAAAAACCTCGGCAAGCATAAATACCCTGTCACTGTCCCCTTTAATATACATTTGGAGTAATGGCAAAATGCGTGGAGTTTATTGTATAACAATACTGGCCCATGTCAGACTACCATTCATTGAATTAACATTTAGTGCTACTGCTTTTGTGCTATATCATTAAACAAGATTTCAAAAATGACAGTTTCAATACAGTAGTTAAGTAATAGATCCAAAAGGAAGAAAAAATAGGAAAGTAAGATGACCAAAACATGTACAAAGTTTATTGCTCTTGTCAATATCTACATTTGATACTCTTCAGTTGCCATCTTACAAAGGCGAGCCATAAATACAACGCGACAATGCTGGGCAGTTGAAACAACTGTTGCAAGCATGAACGGTGCCCAAACATTTCTCCACTTCTCAGAATGACACAAAAATGCTATCTTTAAGGCACCCCACATATATTTCAATCTATTTACATTTGAGTTTTCAAAAAAAACAAAAAAACATTAGCAGGGAACAAGTATTACATGTGAGCTCAGCCTATACACAAAATGCAAAGAGAACCATTAGATAAAAAGACAAAATGGGATGAGGCACTGCCAATTTTGTTATCTGTACAAGCAGCTATCACTGTCATCGCTTTACATTTGGCTATTTGGCACAAATACATGCAATGTTTCGATTATGTTGAATGACAAATTAGTTAAATACAGAAGTGTGGAAGCCTGCAAGAACTTTCATGAAAAATGCCCCAGACACGCACATGCCTATGGAGTCATAGAACAACCTCAGCGTTGTTACATGGCTCAAAATGAGCAATAACATGCCTGAGTGACCCGCATAGAAACAAGAGTAATGGGCACACATCCAAATGTGTGCTTGCACCGCGAGTATTTACACGTAGGACTCTTCACCACCTGTGCAGGAGTTCCCCACAGATTCTGTCCGTGAATGACCAGAACACAATGAATCTGGTTGGCTGTTGACCCCATCCTTGGCTGTAGATTGCTTGCTGAAGAGGCTCCGTAGCTGAGCCACACTCCAGCTGATCTCTTTGGGAAAGTCATAAAGGGCCTGGTTTTGGCAACGGTCATGGAAGGAAGATACCACCACACACTTCCCACGGTTGACCAGCTGAGAGTCCTTGACATGAACAGGTGGGTGGTGCCGGAGCCGGATGCCAGTACCATCACTCACTGTGCGGTGCACACTTTGATGAGGTTTCGGTGGCAAAGGCGGCGGAGGACTCTCAGAGATCCCCTCGTCACTGCTGTCGACCTTGACGAGGATTGCATGATGGGTCTCACTGCCTTCGTCAAGCTTTTCATTATAGATCTTCAGAGACTCTTCGTAAAGCTGTCGAGCCTTGGATCCAAGAGAAGGAGCAGGTTCCATCGGAGGTTCTTCGGGGAAGGAATCGTCTGCATGGGACACTGCCTGCGACCTCCGAAAAAGGGTACGACGGGTCATGGCTTCTTGGTAGCTGGGAGGCTCCATGGGCTTGCTGGTGGGTGACCGATGGACTGATGCCAGCGTGCAGCTTGGGGACTGTCGTCTGCCCGGACTGGCCCGTGACCGACTTGAGCTTTGTGATCTGACGGAATGGGCCGAGTGGCTGGACTCGTGCGAGCGGTTTGACTCGAGAGACCGGTGGGACCTTTGACTTGCCTCCGACGAAGAACTGCAGACACTGTTCACACGAGGAGGAGTGTGGACTTGAGCAAGCATATCCGCCGGTTGGAATCTCGAATCTTGCGGCCTGGTATTGACTTGGCAGAGGTGCGGGATGTCCTGATTAGAGACTGGGTTCAACGACGGGACGTCTTGGCAGTGGTCAATCTCATCGATCTTGGATGTAGACTGGCTGCGCTTCCAGTCTACACTGTTCATTTGGTTCGCAAACCACAAGGCATGTCTATCAGGCATGGCCACCGAGCTGTCTGTCTTCTTCGTTCTCTCCCAATTGCTTCCTTCCAGTGGTGGCCGAGGAGCCTTCCCCTTGCAGTGCTGGGGTCGCCTCTTTGGCAGTTCCTCTCCCATGTACTTCTGGAGAAGGCTTTCCTCTGATGCACTCCTGATTAGGTTGCTGCAAGGACGGTCCACATTTAATGAAGACACAGCAGTGCCACCCTGCTGGCGACCGCGGTTCTTTCGCCACCGAACCAGTGTGTCGTTTCCGGCCAAAACATCATCCTCGTTAGGGTCGTTATCGCGGTAGTTGCACGACTTCGAATACTGGAGCTGCTGAGATCTCAAATCCCTCAGGATAGGAGAAGAGCGGACATAATAGCCGGACACAGCACAAGGACTTAAGTGACGAGAGTTTCTAGAGACTTCACCGCCACATTTCCGTCGCCGGACGACATCTATGCAGGAACCATCTATGCTGACACCATTGCTCCGGCTGTGAATGCACTCTTGCACGCCAACTGCTTCCAGGTGTGGCACACTTTTGGTCATGCCCTGAAGTGCAGAGCTGGCGTTGTCCATCTCCACTTCATCCTCAGGAGTGTATAGCTGGGTGTCACTCAGGGTGAGGCCAGAGTCCCTGCTCAGGTTCGTGAGGGACACTTTGGTTCTGTTTGGCAGCTTTGGACTAGAGTCTTCCATGAGAGCCCTTTCAAGGCTGTCGATGGAAGAGTCATCCCTTCGGAAAGCACCTGGAAATGGAAAAAATAACTTGTTACAAAACACTGCTTTGCAGAACTTTTGCTCACTTTGCAATGTCCGGCAAATAATGACCTTGTACAAGCACACCTTAAGATTCATCATATTATGAAGCATTCACGTGTGCTCTTAACGTTATTTGAAGCAAATGTTGTGAGTAAATGTTCTATCATCAGTAAACACGAGCCCATAAACTGGTTTTCCGTAGAGCACTTCTTATTGGATAATGAATGTAATCTTGCACTATCATCAGTTCTATTGTCGGTGACAGATTAAAAGTTCAAGGAAAGCTCATCCCGCCTCTTTCAACTTTAGCAGAGCAAACACTGGAGAAGAAGCGACCATTTCTCCACCATTAGCTCCGCTAAAGTAGAACAAGGTGGGAGTAGCTGCACCTGAACTCTTAGCCCTTCACTGACTATAGGCTGGCACAAACTTAGTGCATATCCCTGCATGTAACAAGACAGTCCCACAAGTGCTGGACACGGGTGGTTATCATTTGAGCCCATTCTCGTTTCGACCTTGTCACTTGGCCCTTCTCAAAACAACCATTCTCAAAAAGATCTTCTCGCTTTGACCCGTCGTATTTGGCCGTTTCCCGTTTCGTCTTTTGCATTTCAACCCTCCTCATTTGGGCCCGTTCTCGTTTCGCCCTTTCCACCTGGCCCTTTTCAATACAGCCATTCTCAAAAATATCTCGCTTTGAGCCGTCGCACTTGACTCTTTCTATACCATAACTGTTTGTTAGGGTAATATTAATGCATTGATATACTGCGCGTGTGCGTGCGTGCGTGCATGTCACTACAGGCATACTATCTCTGCTAAGGATTTTAGCAGTGCGTGGAGGTCGTCATGAAAAGCTACTAGCTGTCAATAAAACAGACCAACTATTTATCGCAGCCAGATCATATTCCGAAATGTCACGTTGTTTGAGGTCTCTCGACTTGAGACAATACCACCACTTCTATAATGGAGGGGGTCTCAAAAGGGGGTCCGCGAAGACATCCTATAGGGGTCCGCGAAGCCCTGTCTCATCAGTCAGGCACGGCAATATTAGTTGTCTTTCTTCACGTTGAGAAGAAACGTTCCAATTTTCGGGAGAGTACTCTCGTGTGCATGTCAATGAGATAAGTCTACTTTACACTAGCAATTAGTTATATCCATTTATTAAATCATTATCATGATAACCTATACCTTACTATGCCCCTCACCCCGAACGGGGTCCTCCATCATCTCCGCCTTTCTACAAGGCGTCTGCGAAATATCAATGATTGAGAACCACTGCTATTATGTATGCTATTTGAGTTCAAACAAAGTTTCTAAATTAAATGCTCATTGTTTTTTGTTTTTTTTCTTGTTCGCTTAGAGGAAGGGAAGCAGGCGTCAATGTACGATTCTCAGTGCGTACCTCTACATATAACATATATCTGATGGTATGGTGGGGGCCCAAGTAAGGTAAGGCTAATCAACAAAGCCGCGAAGGGATAACGAGGTTAGAAGCATGCCAAACTAGTGTCATTCGGTCGTAGCGCGAACGGGCGAAATGAGAATGGGTCCAGTTGCGAAAAACACGATTCGGATCTTATGAGAAGGTTCAAACGAGAGGGACCAATTGAGAATGGGTTGAAATGTGCACGGTTCAAATGCAAATGGGACGTTTTGAGATACACCCGCTGGACACTGCCTCAATCCCTTTAAAGACAGGTAAACATCACAATCCTTTGACAAGCCAAGGGCCATAATAACAAAACATACATTTCCCTCATACAAAAAGACTCTGTTTTGAGATTTTGATCCAGTGGCAGGACACTATGAAGTAGAATAAACCCAAACTGGAAAATTTTACAAATAAGCGCTTACTTTGATTCACCTACGGAAGACTTTTGGTAACTAACTTAGCTTTGGGCAGCCTCTCCAAGCATTTTTTAATCACGAGCACTAAAAACAAAACAAACATCAATTAGAAAGAAGATTTGGAAAATATTAATACTCCACATTTCTTTAGTTACTCTTGTTTGCAGATTCTCTAATATGGTATCAGGAGACTTAATGTGGAATGGTTATTCAGGGTAAGACATAAAGAGCACATTGGAGTATTTTCTCTCGAACTACAAAACCTCCGTAATCACCGTAGAATACCGCGCATCCGCCCATTCCCAAATTTGAAAGATCCGAGAAATATACGCAGTACATTTATACGTAAAATTGATGACCGGACAAATGCCCATCCCCTATTCTCTCGCGATTATTTCTAAATTTTAAATGGGCGCTTGCCCGGTATTTTACGGTAAGACAATCATGATCACTCACTTCCACTTTCCTGCAGGCTGTGTGGACTGTCAGACTCCTCGGCCCCAGAGTCCTGAAGAGACGGATCCTTTTGTGGTGCTTCTCCGAAAAGCTCGAGAAAATCCTTTCCAAAGATGTCCACGCTGTGCTCGATGAGGTACTCCACCAGCTGGGGCACTTGCTCCGATATCTGCAAACAAGATCCAGTCATCTTTTTATCACAAGAATGAAAAACAGAAGTGCATCCACCCCCAAGTCTCACAAAACTGGCAGGGCCATGGAAGTTTAGGTAGTGTTCAATAGAATTCATAATAAAGAGAAGAGGGATGCATCTACAAGAAAACTTTAAATATTGGAAGACTTTTTGGTGCCATGGCCAAGAACTTTTGGTCACAATGAAAATAATGTACTTTAGCAAATTGATTCACATACTCATTCATTCATGTCTATTTGTCGTTCTTGTGCCGTACTTAATTCAAGATTTTCACCGACGTGACCTTGTCACTTTTGCCCCTGTTCATGAAATGATTCTTCCATCCATCACAGCATTATCTTCTATGTATCCTTTGTGTCTTCACTTGGACAGTCCCCTTCTTATGTAATGCCCAGCAATGGGCCTGTAAGGTACTTGAATAAATAACCTCTAAAATCATTCATTAACTCAAAACCTGGATAACAGGCAACCCTTAAAAAAAAAAAAAATCTTTGCAGGCACTGCAAGTCTCATTTCAGTGCTTTTTCCCGTTTGCCATTTTAGAATAAACTGATGCCTCTTCCTGAGCCCTAGACATTTCCAAAGCTTTAGAAGTTGCTACATTCTCGTCTTCTCACTCAATGTTCCACCAAGTCTTTTAAAACCACATATAGCAGGTGCAGCTAGGCAGGAAAACTAATCCAAGTTTGAACTATTCAAGGTGGCACATAGCTACTGACATGCTCATTATGGTGCATAATAGACTGATCTCACAGCCAGTGTAAATGTCACCGCTGCCGCCATGCTTTGTGGCGGCTGCAGTCTTGCTGCATGTACAACAATGCCACTAAGCGTCTGAGTGAGCAGAGCACAACGTGGCACGAGCTGTTTCGCGAACTGACACCTTCCTTTTATTAACTAACTACAAGTATGGCAGAGTCAAAGCATGCATGGAACGATTAGTGAGATTGGCCTGTTAGTGATCCTCGGGGCTTAGAAAACGGAAGTGTGTGCAAGAGTCTGGTATCTCTGCCCAGAAACAACTCTAAATGCATGCTACACATCAAAACAAGCCCATAAACCACATGTGGTAGCAGCCCCTAGTCATTTTTGGTGAAGAGTTAATAATGATCTAGGGCAAACCTCGGACTGAAGAGTGATAGAGTGATAGCCATCGACCAGCTTGGCGCTGAGCAGACTTGGACCAATGCAGACAGCCAGGTTGGAAGGCGGCATCTTGTTTTCGTTGCTCCGGTGGCTGATGTGCCAAAGCACGCAGAGGATGTGGCGTAGGAGCTCCACATTGGCTGGGGGAAGCCTCTTCAAGAGACTGAAGAGCAAATGTAGATGCAAAAGCTTAAACAGAGGAAACAAACCCAAATGAAAACAAACATCCATGTCCCAATCACCGGTTGTCTAAATGACGGTCGTTGAAACATTGTGTGCATCAAACTGAAAAATATTAATTAGTATCTCATTTTATGCCATCATCTTCATGGAAAAGAAGCTTTGTCCCTATGCCCTATCATCTACCTCGTGTTAATTAAAGGAGCCAGCAGGATACGCTATGGCTTGTTGCACATATTCGCAAATTGCCCGAAGTGTTATCAAATGTGAAAAGTTTGCACTGAAGGCAATGCCTTTACTGTGAGTATGATGTTGAAACAGGGTACGGAGTACATATAAATGTTACAGAAGGAACAGTCGAGTCTCTGCTATCCCTTTAAACTGTGCTACCTTTCCAGGTGGTGTTATGCTTATCTTCTGCCACATTTTAGCTTTAAAGAATTCATTTCAGCTTGCAAACTTTGCATGTTTATCAGCAGTATTACATTTAAGGGGGGACATGGGCCTAAATTTAAAATTTTTTTGAAAAAATTCATTTTTTAATTTTGAGGTTTTCAGTTTTAAAAACTAATTATACACCCTTACACCAAATTTGATAACCATATGCCAAATAGTTACGTTGATATAAAATATTTTCAACACATTGTGAGGCAGTAACAAAGTAAAGGAGTTCAATGTTTGAATGCATTTTTCTCAGTTCCATTTTTTGCTGCAAATTTCATACGAAGGAATCTTTTGTTTAAAGGTGAAAGCATTCTGATACCACAATCAAGATGTTTCTGAACTGAGATTTACTCAGGAATCGGGCTATCTACTTTATTTTGTTTTAAGTTGAAGTCCTCAGTGATAAAAAACTAAGTTTTCAAAAATTGACAGAGGACAGATATGCATATCTCATAGTTTGAGGTAACAACTCTTCCTGAAATATTTACATTTAAGTTATTAAAACTAGATAGCCCGAGGGTCCATATCCCCCACTTTATATTCAAGCAGTCAAAATGATGCTTAACAGCTTGATTTGCATATCATAGATTTCTTAATGAAAAGTGACACATCATCTTATGCAAGTATGCAAATTTGTCCTAGAGAGCTGAAAGTTTGCACAGTACACCTACATCTGAAGCTCAATCTCCCCTGCAAATTTCATTCCGATCACTTGAGTAGTTCAAAAGTTTGACCTCTAGCCAGTGTCCCCCCTTAAGCAGATATGCAACTGCATTCAAGCATGGAAGGACTGCTGACAGTGACCTTTGTAACTTGTTCCCAAGATGTTCCACTTCAAAAGATTCATCTTTTAAAACAGAACATCTTGGTTAAGCACCCAATTAGAAATGCATCAAGAAATATTTATTTATAATTCACTAAATAAATTTGCCATGACAGTAATACAAAAACATTGCCCAAATTTGGGGACTAATCTAGTCTGAAGTCTTCTCCTGTATCAACTGTCAAAATGTGTATAAAGTAGCTGGAGAAATTTAATAACTATGAAATACTGTTTAACAAGCCAAATAATTAATGGCAAATTGCTAGGCAATTGTGTTGCATACGTGAAATGTTATAGCATCGCAAATGTTTATATCATCGCTTAGCAGCACGTCTCGCCTGTTCACGGCGTTCTTCATAAGATAATTTGATGTGTGGCATGTATGCACTTGAAATTATAAACCTTGTGATCTTCAAACTTCCTAACCCTTGCCTCCTTACTTCACCCCTGGTCACCTCCCCGTTAGCCAATCAGCATCGAGCACCACTCCTCCTCTCCCACCTGTCAACCAATCAGTGTTGAGCATTGCGGCCACACTTTTATCCAAGCTTCACGAAATGCTGAACACCTAGCCAAGGAATGTTTCAGCTTAAAATTGGCTGCAAGTTGGGTCATTGCGCCGAATGCATTTAAATATGCTAGCAGTATAAGGTGGGTTGTGCTCTTAGTTCAGGTGGTACCAAGGGCAGTATGACCCTTAGTCCTTCAGTGCCTTTTGTGGGTGGTGCTCTTAGTTCAGGTGGTGCCTAAGGCAGGGATTTGTATGAAAACAGATTATGACATAACATTGTCTCTTTGTGATGCTGTGTGTGCTTCTTTTCAGCACCACTTGAATACAAAGCCTTTGGGCTGAATTTTCTGGGTCACTAAGAGAGGCGAAGGTCACTTTCCTGCCCTTTTCACTCCTCGTTCTGCACATTCTTTCCACACCCCGCGTTTCTGCTCCTCTTTTTCTCGCCCTTTCTAATCCTCTACTCTGCACGCTTTGTCACACCACCTGCTTCTGCTCCAGCCATTCCTGCATGGTGTGTACGTAGCTCAATCAGCAACGCACTCAACTTCCACATTGGAGACCGGGTTCAATCCCTGGCACCGGTGGTCGTTTTTTTTTTTTAAATATCATTCAGTGGCTATGGATTGACCAACGCACAGATTTTGCGCTGGCCATAGAAAGCTACCGCTTTAAAAAAAAAAAATACAAGCATCAGGATACAGCTGACGCAGTCTAAATTAAACATTTTCAATGTTTAACTCAATGTGAAAGTGCATGTGTATGAGCCATAAAACACTGCTTGTCTGTCTTGGGAAAACCCTTGCAGTCTCAATGTTTACAGAATAATGCAATGCAGGAGCGCACAGACCTTGCAAGCAATGATACACATAGTAGGAAGTGTTTGGCTAATAGCAATGCATCAATTGGTGGCTTAAGACCCGCTAACAAACTTGCAACTCCTTTGGACCGTGTGCCTTAAAACTTCTTCAAAGGGTGTACAAACCTGATAGTGAAGTCCCTCTTCTTCCACTCTGGCTCCACGCGTAGCACGTTCAGCCACTCGCTGTAAAGGCCCCTCTGAAGTAAGCAGTCGGGCAAGCAGCCAAGGAACTCCTGCAATACACAAAGGATCATTTTAGAAGTGCTTGCTACATGCTGAGCTAAGTTTTTTTTAAATCATAATACTTTATTTACTGGAAAGAAAAATTTACACGAGATAGCGTACTGGCCCACAAAAGCAGAAATGCTTGTGTGTGGGTCCAGTCAGCCAACAAAACACTGCATACATCTTTATACACAAGGAAGAACTGTGCACCATGCAAACGATTATAACTTTTTATCCACAGGTAGTACCAGCGAGCATTTGACACCATTCTTTGACGTTTAGTTTCACAGCGAGAATGGATGTTAAATTATTTAAAGTTTCAGGCAATGTGTTAAATAAATGCAGGGATGTAACATTTCCTTTCTTTTTACCCTAGTTTGTTAGAACTTTCAGCAAGATAAACCTCTCTGTACACCTTAGATTTCTCTTTTTTCAACCTCATATTTGAAATCATTTTTATAATAATTACTTGTTATTGCTACATATTTATAAAATTTATCAAATGAGAGTATGGTTCAATACAGATCCGAATGAGGGTAAGTTTCAGTACAGATCCGAGAAAATCTGACCAAGTATGAAATATCATGCAAATGTCTATGTAATAAAAGTTGCACGATTGAATCTTGCTTTCAGTCAACTAGGTTTAGTGTTTCCAGGCCCCTTGCCGAGTATGGTTCCTTGCCAGGATGACAGTGTAGGAGGGGGGACTCAAAGGAAACCATGATCTATTCTACAAAATCACATTTACGTTTACACCTTCAAATTTCAGTCACTATCGTAGTACTGAGGCAATACACATGTCCAGACAGTGTTTAAACTTGTCTGTTTTTATACCTCCTAGTGCTTCTGCAACTTTTTGTTTCACATCTACCCCATCTGCAAACTGCTTCCCTTGAGATATTTTTTAATCGGGAAAAACAAAAACGTTGGATGGGGAGAGGTTGAGTGTGTGACCGGAGGTCACTTTTTTTTTTGTCAAAAACTGCTGAACACTTGCGGTCTAGGCAAGCATGTTGTTATGGTGAAGAACCGGAACCAGTCTCCTGTTTGCCACACCTGAAGTTGTCATTTTTCCCACACTGCAAATGTTCAGCAGTTTTTACCAAACATGGCATAACCCCTGTACCCCACAGTCCCTATTCGCCCAACCTCGCCCCGTGCGACTTTTTTTGTTTCACCGGATGAAAAAAAGTTCACTGAGGGAGTTACTTTACCGATGTGGAGGAGGGGAAACACAAAAAGGCAGACGCACTGCAAAGCACAAAATTAGACAAGTTTAAAGGGTGTCTAGAGCACAGAATAATGTCTCAACAAGTGTACTGCATCAGGCAGAGAGTGCTTTGAAGGTGATTGAAATTTGAATGTGTAAAACTAAATGCACATTTGCAAAAATAAATTATGGTTCCATCTGGGCCCCTCTCACATGTCAGGTGAGAAAGTAATCATTCAGCAATCCTCAATCTGCTATGGTTAAAATTTTTGGGCGTTGTTCACAGCATAAAAATAGAAACCCTCATATGAAGTGACAATCAATCATGGTGGTTGTCTTGAACCTCTTCATAAAAAAAATAATGAACCTCATTGTAATGCTTCTTGACATGCACTGGATATTGTAACCACTTCAAATTTCAGACTCACCTTGAAGGTTGCTGCAACGACATGAATCGGAACGTCGCTGAGGTTGTAGTCCGGGTCCTCTTCAAGCCGTGCCTGAAGTTCCCGCTTCGAACGGACGTTCCCACACTTTCTGAAGATGCCGTACGTGAAGGGTCCTCGCAGAAAAAGCTGCTTCAGGAGCATCTGCAGGTAACACAACAAACTATAGGGTTAACACAACACATGCTGCAGGAAGCAATCAAACAATTAACAGATTACTTTTTGTGCTGCTCGTGTTTGTACAAAATGAGGTAAAAACATTAAACAACACTATGCAGCTTTCTGCTTACTATTCCCGACTAGTTCAGAATTGTACCTTCCCAGCATTGCGCCTGACTTATCTTGGAATAATCTACACTCGTGGAAATTATGAGCTGAAACACCCAATCCTGCCTTTTTCAGTATGTGCAGTTTCCACAAGCTTTTTTATTACTCGATTTGTCAAGTCTTCAAAGAACCGGACTTGAACTTTACATTCCATCATTAGTATGCACTGAGCGTCTTTCAAAAGCCGGCAGATATTCATACAAGCTTAAAAGACTGTTTTAGCTCATATTGTGTGCGATAGAACAGGAAGTGTCCCGTTCATAATTATGAAACCTACCATGACAGGCTTGGGGAGTGTTCCACTTGGAGAGATTTTGCTCAGCTCTTGGCCGAACAGGTTGCCCACAACGGGGGACACGCTGCCACCAGAGTCTGTAGAGGACTGCTTGGAAGGTGCTTTCTTGAATGGCCAGTTGATGATGGTAGGTCTTCGAGCTTTCTTGGGCTTCTCAGCTGCAATCGGAAATAGTATATAGGTTGTTTTTTTATTATTTGCTATCCCAGTGCACATGAATGACAACTGTAACCTAGAAATGAGACGGATAACCAGTTTATGCCCATGAAGTTAATTGATTCCACACATACCAGAGCAGAAATATGCAATGGGTGGTTGTAAAATCAAATATCAAATGGAACCGAAGCAAGACCTCGTAGATAATATCAAGCATCTCGTGCATCCTCCATCTTGCAACCTACCATTTTCCAAATTTCGGGTTTGAACCTCCTTTAGTATGAAGTTGAGTAGGCATGGCACAAGCAAGTGCCAAGATTTATACGAGTGGCAATGCTTGGTCCCATTGACTCCATTAAGCTACGGTGACCTTTAGCTCTCAACACCACTTTGGTGCCCATTGTGGCCATCTTTTGCCCTCGAGTTTGTTGAAGAAAGACTCTCCCTGCCCCCTCCTATTGGTGCCTTTTCTTGCCTCGAGCTTCCAACCCAGAAATCCTCAAAGCAAGTCTTCGACAGGGGGCATCAGTTCTTCTGGAAGAGGCAGACTAAGCATTGTACAGTAACAGCCCAGGAAGAGATGCCCAGAGATGGGTTTAATGGGCTGTTAAACCCATTTGAACATTGGCTGGTTCGATTCAGCAGTGTGCAGCTGACCTACAGGTGCAACCCTTTCTCACCCTCATTGAGTGTGACCTTGTGGTAGTTTCTCCTGAGGATGAAGACACATTTGGTGGCGTTGATGACGTCCGAGAGACAGGACAGATCGAGGTTGGAGCTCTGCATGAACTCCCGCATGAAGTTCATCTTGATGCAGTATGGGTACTCGTGGCCGATTAGTGGGTAGGGAGACTCCTCCTTGCCACTCTTGACCCACAGCTGGAACTCCTCAGAGTTGAAGGACTGAAACGGAACAAGGAGAAAAGAAACACAAATTGGTAGGAGCCTGAAAAACTCGCAAATTCGTGCTCGAGTTTTTAATTTTTCGTGTGCCGTGAGACGTGCATGCTTTTCGTCTGCTTCGCACGGCCGAAAAAACTAGGGAAAAAAAAAAAGAAGCAAACTAGGTCGGATGTTGCTAGGTGACTTAGGGCAATTCTCCCCCTCCTCTACATAATATATGTGACACTGTGGCAAAAAATTGATTGGGTAGTCTTCTGACACCACATTAATCTGCCTGGCAATAAATAAAAACATTTGTTTGGGGGGGGGGGGGGGGGGGTGTCAGTGTCGTTTTAATTAAAAAATGTCTAAGAAAATCTCTTACCCCATCAAGCTTCTGGGTGCAAAGGAAAATGCAGTCCTTGGTGCTGTGTGTGTTGTTGACTTCAATGGTCTCAAGCTGCAATAAGGAACCCGACATAAGCAAGGTTTCCACCACTCACACTGATGTAGAGAGCAGGAATCATTGTACGAATTTGCAACTTTCAGTCCTGATGCTACTGCGGTGCAAGAATCGCGCTCCCTAGCTCCTGAATGATTGTCTTTCGAACTAAGGTGTTTGTTTTTTCTTCTCTTCGTAACATGGACGTATCAGGTATGACTCTTATATTGCTGGTATTTCACGAAATTATTATTACTTCCACGTCGCAGACCCAGCCTCGTACTGCTTTCCTATGACAATCATTCAGGTGACAGCCATTTTGATAGAAACTAGCGTGCCCAAAATAGGCCGTGAAAGTTGCAAATTAAAACAACAAAACAAGCAACATAATTTTAGTGCAACTATAAGTCACGAAAAAATTATGTTCTCTTTTCGATTCATTAGTAATAATTTCGAAAATATGCAGCATTGCAGGATTTATGTGCCCCCAGTCAAATTAGTAGAAACAGTACTTTTACAATTCCAACATGTGCACCTATCAGAATAGATTCCAGTAGCTGAGGATTAATAAAAAAAAAATACATAGCAGTTTATGTACTACAAGGCTGGCTTCCAAAGCCAATGCGGAGAGCGAGTTTGTCTGCTTCCTGTGCAGGTGGTTGCGGTGGCGTCAAAACGCCGAGCTCTAATTGGATGATTGGAAGGTTAAGAATCTGAAGATATGGGATTCTCCCGGGCTCTATTGTTATGTTAGTAGACCTCAAGGTAAGCTAGCATTGAGGTCTACCCACTATCCTTCCAATCAAAGCCAATCAAAACTCGGCGTTCTGACGTGACCGCAACCCCGCACAAAAAGCAGACGAACTTGCTCTCCACATTCTCTCTAGTCACTGGCACAATGAGAACAGCAGCAGGCATCTCTTTCGGACGCCTCACCTCTCTCTATTCAGCACACATATGCTGCCTTCCACCGCCCTTGGTCTGTGTCTGTACGCCTAAACTCAGTAGGCGCTGAAGTGTTATCGAAGGAAGGATGCCCACGCAGGAGGTGGAGAAGCTTGTGCTCCTTGCTGCCAGTCTCATCCTGTCAGTGAATATGCATTTAAAAGTGTGATATGACTTACATAGTCTTGTTGAGATATGGGGTCCCAGTAGCTGATTTGCAATGTAAGGAGTTGTCGCCCTTCTCTCTCTTTTGCGTCAGCAATAAGCCTGGAGAAAACAAAAGACCGGAATCATTAGATCGGTGTAACGGTGAACACATTCTCTAATGTCATTCCACAGTTCAAACAAATAATGACAGGACTAGGATTAAAAACACAGCTCAAAACCCGTTACCTAATGATACAAACAAAGTCAAACCGAAACCAGAGAACCAGAGCGGAGTACTCTGACGTCAAAGACTCCGAGAGTCGCGGGCAGTTATTCCCCTCAACTATACTCAGCTAAAGTTTATTTTCAGTCAACATGGAAAAATTATGTCTTGTAGATACTGCCATTTTGATTCACAAATGTGGGCCTTAGTTGAAGGCCCAGTACGTCAAAATTGTCTTTTCTTTTTTGTCGCCACCGGACGTGAAGCAGAAGAAGAAAAAAAGCGAGAGCTGCCTGCACTTGTGAAGCCTCAGCTATTCCTTTATACTTTTTTTTTTAATGGATAAATAAGCCCCATAAACCGTGTTGCGATAAGAATAAGACCTTACAGGTCTAGGTATTTTTTCAGTGTCCTTTTAAAACTGACTTTTTTTAGATCGCGGTGATGTGGACCCTGGAGGAAAATGACAGAAATGTGTATATATAAATACTAGAGAAAATATAAGCTTTAGGTGCTGATGATATAGTGCTAGCAGACTCGAAAAAGAAAAGGAGGGACCTAGAAAAGTGCACTTAATGCTTGTAAACAAGGTTTTTCTTCCACAGCAACCGTCCAGGCCCACAAAAGCCTACATGAGCATGGGCTCCCATAACTAGGTAAGCAAACTGCAGTTACTCTAAACTGAAGTTTTGCACAGTTTCACGACTGCACAAACTGTGATTAGCACAAAACCGTGGTTAGCGCAAACAGTGCTCCACAATCTCTTCAGGCTCCCTAACGCTTTTGATTTTTAAAAATGTATAGCCAACTAGCCCAACAGTTAATTTTGATTCGCTAACTAATCTGATAGCAGCGACTGCAGTATTGCCGGCTATCGAAGCACTAATTATTTCGGAATGCCAGGGGACACACCTACAAAGGTCTGTGGAGACAAATGTCGCGGAAAGAAACATTTCTCGGACACTCCGCACTCCTATCCTCGGGGGCTGCCATTGATTCTGGTCGATGGCAATGCAGCTTCCCTCATATCGCCCATGTTTTTAATTTACTTTAGGGGCCTTGATAATTGATTCTTACGCGCCACAAATAAAATTATGGGTTATTTTACTCGTTTTGAACAATCATAATGCATATAAAAAAATGTGTCCTTGATCCAGTGGCGTCACGAAAGTCAGCGGCACCCGAGGCGGCAGCCCGCCGCGCACCCCCCCCCCCCCCCCCCCCCCCCACACACACACACTCGCGTGGCCCACCGCGACTACCCCCCTTCCCCTCCCCGCTTTCGCGTGGCCCACCGCGACACCCCCCGAGCCCTGCACCGGGGGCGGTCCGCCCCCGGTGCAGCTGATTTCGTTGGATGAAAGTACGGTTCATTTTGTGCGCTCGCAACTACCAGCAGGAGCCACCAAAAACGGTGGTGCCGCGTGCCGCTTTAAGTCAAGTTCACAGCAGCCAGTACGACACCCAGGAAACCCCGAAAAAAAGGTGGGTTAGTCACAGCGTGTTTAATTGACAATTTTAGAAAGTCGCCAATTCAGGTATGAAAATATCGAAACAATGGGCGCATCAGGAAGGAGAGGGAAGCGTCCTAGAGCAAAAGAGAGACTTTAGGGGATTTTAATCTACGTCATAGCAGCTAGCAGCTCTATCGAGTCAGCCGGATCTTGCTTCGCTGGTCCAGGGCGTGCCCGCGCTCGCTTGAGCACGTGTTCACGTATTTTTATGCCAGAACCTCCTGAACCGGCGACTTCCAAAAATGGTCCATTAATATCGGCAAACAACTCCAGCGCCGAAAATAAAACGTCAAAAGTGCACTACTCACTGCGTGAACTGGTTGTGCCACAAATCCCGCGTCGCTGAAGAGCTGCAAGCACAAAAAAAAGATCGAGCGAAGGCTTCAGGCGAGTTGTTTCACATAAAGCACGCAACGTTCAGGACCCGGCGCTCCACCACACACTTGCAATCCCGCCGAGCAACACACGCGCACACGGCACAAAAAAGCGCAATGTTGCTTGGACCTCCGAAAAAGGCGGGAATAAACATAAACATCGGCGAAAAGGAGCTCCGTAGAGTAGACACGCGTGCGCGATGTGGGGCCCACGGGTAGTTTGGAGGTTGCAGAAGAGAAAGGAGGGTGGAGGACACTTGACGGGGGGGAAGCGTCAGGTAAGCCTCGCTTTGACGTTTCACCACGCGAAGTGGGAAGAAGGCGCCCAGAATACTGCAGCCGGACACTTATCTCCGGCGGAAAGGGAAAAAGGAACACTGCGAGGGATGCTGGCATTGTTTAGCGATAGTGCGGGGGAAGAGCGCGGTGGCAACCCCCTTCTCTTCTTTTTTTTTTTTTTTTACTAAAAAAACATAGAAAGATAGTACGAGGGGGAAACTCTAAGTTCCATGACAGCTCGCACGCACGCGACTAGAGTTCTCGGTTTCTCTTTTTTTTTTTTTTTTTTTTTCGCCGGAAGCAAACAGGTAGCGCAGGTGTCCTGGTGGGACGAGAACCTCCCAAAAAAGGGGGGAGGGCGATCACCCTAGTCCGCCCCACGAACTTTCTTCGTGCCTCCTTTTAGCGGATAGAAGGGGGCAGAGAAACGCGTCGCTTTGCTTGGGCACCAAACTTCATAACCACACCTTGCCGGTGTGACCCCCTCGCCTGTCCGCAAGGCGAGAGACGCTCAGTGGCAGGACCAGAGAGGAGAGAGCGAGGGAATAATCAATCTCCCATAGAGGCCTTTTGGGGATAGGCTTGCTACTTTGCCTTAGCTTCGTGCACCGCCAACGGTGGGCACCTGTTTGTAGGCTGCAGTGTCTTTATTTATTTTAGCGACCGGTTGTAGGTGATTAGGGGAGTAGATCGTGGAGCTCAATGACACGAGACACGGAATGGGCGGGAAAATGGGTTTAGTTGTCGGCACCATCAGAAAAGCTCGACCTGTAGTGTGGACGAGACCTCGAAAGCCAACGACAGCCACCAAAACGGGTAAACACGTAACTTCTCAAAAGAAAAAGGCAGTGGCTCAAGGCGGCACTCTTAAAGGGCGGTCGAATCGCCTTGCGTTATCTATGGCCCGTCCAAGAGAACTGTGGGACCCTGTTCCCTAAAGCAAGCAATGTAATGAGGAATACCAGGCTTGGCAAAGACGACGGTTCCTTGGCAAAAAGAAAGATGTCTACATCGCGGTATCAACCGGCTTCGTCAACAAAGTAAGAATGGCGGCCAGAGAGCACCGCCATCCCTGGAGGCATTTAAGTAGACACCAAGCCGCACTATCTCCCCCACAAGAAACTTGTCTACTTTACCTTTTAACGCGCCAGTATCCAGCCCAACAAGTACCTTCATAAATTACCATGCATCGCGTCATAAACCACGACACACGTCGAAACAACACGCTCAGGATCACCATCGATGCCGCCTATATCCTTAGCGCGTAAAGTGCTATCTCAGACGCCTAGGTGGAGAGGAGAACGCACCCTAAACAACATCAACCACATCATTCCATAGTCGCCGTCTGCATCCCGATCGTTCAGAGATGTCTGTCGGTGTGTTACAGCGTTGCCAGCAGGCGCCAACAACACGCTCGCCCGAGACTAGAGGAAGAGGAGGGCACCCTGTCTTCGTGGAAAAGGGCAGCGATCGTTTCCCGCTCGTTTCCGGCCCCACGAGAGGGGGTCCCGGAGGGGACAGGGGATCAAACGACAATGGCCACAAGAGAACAAGACAGACTTGGACAGGTAGGTAGCGTTCGGCTCCATGGCGACACAGATTCGGGGCGAGGGGAGCCCGTGGGCTAAGCTTTGCATGCGACCTTGGCAGGAAGAGCCAGGGAATCTCGAGAACAACCTTGGCTGTCGCGAGGATTGAGGTGTTCTTGATGGAAAGTGCTCGAGGCTCCCGCCACCCTAACAAAAAGCCGTGCCATGAGCTCTTCCAGCAGAGGCTCCACACGTCACAGGACGACGAGGTTACCTAACTAAAGACTTAAATCAAGTGCCCTCGTCACAAGAAAATTGTTGTGATTTTTTCTGTATTTAGTGCCGTCCGGAAAAAACATATGGAGTGTGCTCGATGTACTCGGACATGAAGTAGTTTTAAAGTTCCGTCGGCTGTATTTTCAGAGGCAAACACCTCGTCTGATAGACGGGAACGCTTGGTCATCGAGGTTAGTCACTGAGCGTTCCGCCTACGTGTACAGTCTAATCCGCATGCTATGCTTCCAACGCTATTCATTTCCAATGTCTATAAATTTAATCATTAAACTCAGTTCTTAGCTGATGTGATCGACAAAAAATTGACGACACTTTGACTGTCCCGGAGATATCGGGTCCCATCACGTTAACCGTGGGTGTCGCAAACCAAATTGGCAGCATGAAAAGCTCTCCTATCATCAAAAGTATAACCTTGACGTCGGATGAAGCGCTATTTAAACACCACCTTTTCTGAAATAAAGGTTTTTTAGCAACAATAACACAAACAATCGCGATAGCAAGACGTTGAAAATCGATATAATGACCTAATAGCACACTAATGCTAATCGAATCGCATAACGGCATACATCACAAACCCTAATAATGCCGACCGCGCGCGCAACACGCATCCCAAAATGGTGAATTTGAACGACGAACTACAGACAAGCTCTTGCGACGACGCTTAACTCAAAACATAGAGCAAAAAAATCTGGATCGATGTCATCTATCCTGTAGACCAACTTTCGCTTTTTGTACCTAGGTGTGTCTCCACGCCTTGAGAAGGAGGCGGAGCACAAACTCGGGCACCACGAAACGCCGCAGAGCCTGAAAAACCTTCCCTCCTCTGATGACTTTTTAGCTCAAGACGCCATCGCGGCCACGTAATTAGAGAGGGATAGACAAAACAAATATAAAGAAAAACTTACGGCAATTAAAAGAGGCTGGCTTATCCCGCTGACCTAAATGTTCGCCAATAGCCAAAAAAAAAAAAAGCGAAAAAAAAAAAAAAAAACTTTTCCGCTCAGGGGAGCGCTTTTGCATCACCACGGAATTTCTCAATCTCGCTTCTTCGATGTAGTCTTCTCGTTCAGAGAAGCCACAGTCCAGAGGACGCCCATCTAGGTTCATTTTCTTTCTTTTCGCCTCTTGGCGATGTTATCAATCAGCCCAGCGCGCGCACACACACACACACCCTCGAGAATTTTTTCAAGAGCCGAGAAAACGAACGTTCGGCGGGGCATTAATTAAACAAGTCAGTTGCACACACAAGCACCGCCGAACAAGCGTCCTTTCCATCCTGAAAGGGCCCCGCAAGCTGACCATCTCACGCCACTAGCACCGCTGGCTAAACACGCACTTTTGCGATCGCCACGGCCCTGATTAGAACGCGCCTTCTAGTAATAAGGGACAGACTGAAACGATGCTCGGGAGGCCCCGTTTTGGGAGGCCAAAATACCAGGTGCGAGAATACGGGGGCACACAGGTAGTAGGAGGAACCCCTGCGCGGACGAACAAAGGGCCGGACTCGGTCATGGGGCTGACAGGGACGTAGGACGGGAACTAGCAATCAGCACTCTAGGAGGATAAGAGGGCATAGTGGACTTTCGCCTTTGGACATGGGAAAGAGAGCAACCAGACGAATCCACTGCAATGCTTTCACACTTCTGTAGCAGACGACATAAAAAAAAAGGAGCTGTAAAGAGGGGCAGTTAAAAGAAGTCGAGCTGGGGCCAATGACCCAGATCCAGTAGAGAAAATAACGGCTCTCAGATTAGTGCTGCACTTCACTACGCTGGTTTAAACATAGCTTGGCAAATACCGAAGGCTACGGCTCCAGTGAGCCAATCAGCGAGTCGTAGTGAGGCACGTGACACCGTATCGTCGGAGTGCTGTCTTCCTGCAGACAGCTGTCACGTGCTTCGTTTCGTCGTTCGAATTGGCTCGAGTGGGCCGTTTTTTCTCTACCGTGTTATGGCAAAACGAAGTACTGAAAAAGCGCGAGCGAATTTGAGTTACCCCGTAGAGCCAACCTTACATTTTGTGGTGGTGTCAGGCCGTGGTGGAAAGTTGCCAAGAAAGTTAAAACGGGACACTTGGCGTGTCGCGTTGATTACATAGTCAAGGACGCGTGTAATTAATACTCATGACAACACAGTATGCAAATTGAGAATGTCCGTTCTATTATGGACAGTGTGGTGGTCTGAAGCTGGTCGCCACCCCAACCGCGTTGTAGACAACTTGCCCGATCAAGTGGCTTGTAAGGAAGGTTGCGGCTTACCTGAAGGTAACGACGACGTTGGTCGTGGGCCAGCCGATGACGAAAGACGTGTCGACGGATCTGGTCGACTCGCTCACGTCCGCCAGGCAGTTGGAGAGCCACATCTCGCAGGTTCGAACCTTCTCTTTCAGCTTGTAGCTCCCAGACGACCTACAAGTTCAAAGGAAAAGAAAAAAAAAGTAGGTTTTATTTTAGACAACGCGAACACGTAGCCGTCTCGGCGATCCAGACATTAGACTTACTTTGGTTTTGCGATTAGCAAGACATCGCTGAGGAGGAACAGGTGTCGCTCCTGGTTTTGGAGACCCTGAAGACAAAGTGGCATGGTTAGGTTACTGCGACGTGCCAGGTATGAGTCTACCAATCCTACGCAAGCCCAGTACAGCAGCAAAATACTCACAATCGAGAACTGAGCCGGTCCGTCCATGATGAAGTAGCGGACCCAGTTTCCTCCCAACCGTCCTCCGTCCACGACCATGACGCCGCCGTCCTTGCTAGGCGACACCCTGCACCAACCGTCGCCACTCATCGATATAAAACTCCAAAACACATCGTTACGTCGGCCGTCACTACGGCGCTGAATCATCCCGATAGATCCACTTTGTAAACGCGTGCTCGAGAGAGAGTCTAGCAACCGGCCTACTCGCATTCCTTAACCGCCCCATCCGGCGATTACGCAAAATAACCGGAAAGGCTAGCAGCGCGCACCGGCCGATTTCCCCGTATAACTAACGGAAAGCCGAGTTGGAAGAACTGTCGGCGATGCCATCCTGACATGTTTCTTGAGGTGCGGCGGCGGCGCTTCCTCGGAGGTGGGGCCGGTGATGCGGCGTGCCGTCGGCGCGTGGAAGACGCGTTTCTGGGTGGCCGGAGAAAGGGCATCCTCCAAGGTCGCGGCTCAACGTACCTACCCACACACACACACACACCTGAGACCTGACCCCCCCCAACTACCCTCGCCAGCCGGCACCTGCCCACGTTAGTCAGGGCGGCGGCGAGCTTCAATGAAAGCTGCAGCGGCCATTATTATTATTATCACTGCGGCGTTTCCTCCTGCTGGTCTGCTTTCCATCGGTACGCAAGAACACGTCGTCCTCCCCCGCCTCCCGTTGTTCTTCGCTGTTGCGAAATAGGCTTTCATTACGCGGTTAGAACAAGGGGTAGCGATTCGCGGCCATTACGTGCCGTTAGAACTGCACCCATTACGTTGTTTACGGAAAACATAATCGGTGCGCGTAAGTTCCGCGAAGGCGAGTCGAGACCGTCGTTAGGTTGTATGTACTACGCGCTGGTGGATAATACAGCCTGTTGGAGCTCTCGCGTGTTACCAGAATGCCATTCCATCGCGCTATTCAATTACCACAGCCGTGACCGCGAAAGGCATTCGCGTCTGGGCGCTACATTCTCTCGCGCTTCTACACCCTTTCAATGGCACGTTTCGGTGGAGTTGATGCTTGAGGGTCGTTGTACACAAGCCCAGCAATCATAAATAACACAAACATAAATAACAGGAAAGAAGTGAAATCTCATGGTAGTGTCAACAAAAAAATGCTCAACAAAATTACGCTATTGACATTTGCATGTCAATAACGGGAGAAAAAAAAAAACAAAAAAAAAAACTTTGGAATAGTTGAACTTACATGTCGCTGACGGATTTGGACTTTCCCGAAAGCGCTCGGTGTAGTTTGGAGGCCGCAGCCGATTTTGTGCGAAGCAATCCCTTCCGCTGAAAAGGCAGAGAACACCGTGGCATACGTTCACCGTCACAGGCACAAAGAGAAAACACATTGACAAAACAGAAGGGGAAAAAAAAATAGACAAGTACCGTGATAGTTCCGAGGGAAAAAATAAAAACGTGTAAAGCTGACTGACAGAGCAAACGCGGCAGCTAGTAAAATCACACTCACGTTAACAGAACGGCGTTCGTGTTGCCGTCTTCGTCCGCTCGAATGTAACCTATGAAATCACGAGGCTGCTTCTTACGCTAGTCGCATACCGCAAGCGACAAGAAAGAGTTAAAAGCCTGATCACTCGCAGTCGTTTTATCTACGGAAAGAAAGAGGCGCAACCGTGACACCGTGCCAAAACAGGTGACCGTAGAAAACAAGGTAGACTTCGTCGAATCCAGAAGGCAACAACTTCGGCACGAAAGCCTACCACAACGGGTGCGTCACTGATGACGCACCTTGCGAGCCTTCGGCAGTCGCGCCGACCGACTTGCACGGGCAGTTTTCCTACGGTGAGCTCAAGCAGCGACACGCTCCAAGAAAACGAGGCCGGGAGTGCGTCGAGGAAAAGCGAGTTTTGGCGAGCAACACAAGTGTCCACCGTGTTGCTCTCCTAAAGGCCAATGGCGCACGGGGCAGACGGAAGAGTTGTTTCTTTGCACACTCGTTTGCGACAACGACTGCTCGGCGGTGGAAATCTGTTCGTCAACCACGTTTCATCGACGTGTTGTATGGTCGACACGACGGGGTTTCATCGGCAGTTCATTTCGTTGAAAGATTCCCACGTTCGTTTCATCGATACACCTTGCGACGTTTCGTCGATAACGTCTTTCCGCGCACATCGCCTCGGTCGCCACCATCCTGATGTCGAGCCCTTGCTGAACTCTTGACGGTTCCGATATGGCCTGGTGCAAGCTTGGGCCTGAGATTATGTCAAACTTTTACCGAGCAGAGCGATGTATTTCGCGGACTGTTTGCAAACCAAAGACTTGCCAATTGGTTTTGCCCTATCGGAGCCGTCTGGGTGAGTCCACTTCAGTTCCGATATGCTTCTAGCGAACGAAATGAAGTAAAATAATCCAACACACTAAATAAAAAAAATATATATATGTATATAAAGAAGCGTTGTCGACGAAACGAGTTTCCACGAAACATCGCAGTGTCGACGAAACGTATGTCCACGAAAGGTTGTCCACGAAACGTGTTCTTATAAAACGTGTGTCGGCGAAACGACGCGGACCCCTGCTCAGGGATGAAAGGATCTTGATCACATACCGGGGACAGAGGATCTCGGTCGTGCAATCGGAGGTTGTCGCTCGGAAACAGATCCTGAATCCGGTCCAGGTCCGTTTCCTCTTTGCTCGAGTCGCCCCGCCTCACCATCTGCAAAGAAGAAACGCTCGTAAATAAAACTTACGAATCCAAATGCGCGCGGCAAAACATACGAGCCACGGAGGGATATGAATAGGAGAAAATGGCATCGCAAAATTTATAGTCGGTCGTTTTTCGCAGTCAGGAGACACAGCGGCATTGGATGCGAGGCTCTACACGAGCCCCCAATATTAATGTTGGTGTAGGCAGAAAAGCTAAGTGACTGCGATTTTCGTCGAACGTGTTTCAGCCGTTCGAACATTGGGTTAGAGTAGGGAGCACTAATAAAACAAACCATCATCTCACATCTCACGGGCGCCGACTCCGAATGTCTAATGATAATATCACCACGATTCGCTGACATTAGGCATTGAGAAGCCTTGGATTGAAACTAAGCGTGGAAGATTATCGTGTAGCCATCGATCTGGCAACAACTCGCAGTTTATTCAATTTTGTGCACGCCTGTTTTAATATTGTGTTATATACATTTATTTATCTGGTACTGCAGATCGTGATGGTTCAAGAACGGGCAGTACAATATTAAGAAACTACGTTGCACGTCAAGAACGAAGTGGAAGAGATCTCACACTTCTTTCCACTTTAGCAAAGCGAACGCAGGAGAGGAGGCGATCTCCCCTCCAGCGTTCGATCTGCTGAAGTGGAAAAAGGGAGGAGTAGCCTGGCACTTCGTTCTTTACCTGTCACGACATGCACGTAAGGCGAATCACTTCTACCTATTTCCTTTTTTTGGTAACGAGTAACTTATTTAACTGTTTTTTTCCTTTATCAAATGAACAAGTAAAGTACTCAGTTACTGTTAAGGCGAAGTAACGAGGAACGGTATCTCGTTACTTTTGAGGAGAAACTTGTAGAACAATTTTTAAACAGTCTCGTTTTAATTATAATTCGAGTAGGCGTCTATTGCGACAAAGGCAGATGGCAAACCTGTAAAACAACTAAACAGTGTTACAGTATAAAAACATTTGTTGCTGAACACCATCAGTCGATCTCTACAGCTAGAATCGCGTACAGACGGATGCTGGAGGCTGTGCCCTTTATAACGGGCAGTAGCTTGCGCCACCTAGCTTAGAAATTAAGAACCAAAAGTATGAGTTCTTTTCTTCGCCAGTTTGCTTACCCTCTGCAATTTCGTAACTATCCCCAGGTGGTGTGGTATATCACCAGGATGACCTTTGGGGATCGGGAAAAAAAACACCCCCCGGGTTTTCTTGGCGGCGAGGGAGTTGCCAATTTTCCTCTGGTCAAACCTAGTCGGCGTTACCCCGGCACCGGGCCCACTGGGAGACAGGGTCGAGATCTTGGGCCGGAGCCAGGCGGGGCGGAGTCGCCTCGAATAACAACGAATTCCCTTCTGACCAACATTCCTTCCTCATTTCCTCTTTTCGTTCCCTACGCATAGTTTAAGCCGGTGTTCCCTGCATTCTTTCCTCCCGCATTTTTCTTTCGGTTCATTTTACTTTACTTTTCACATAGGTAGTCTGCTCTGCACCAGCACTTGACTGTTGGTATTTGAATTTCAGTTTTCGGGTTCGGTTTGTCCATTTGGTAATCAGACTTTTCATGCATAGATGCTTATATACCTTACTCGCCCATTGCGTAGCTTCAATTGTGTCTAGCCTTCGTTAAAATTTCAACTTGCTGAGCGCCTCTCTAGCCTCGAAAGATGCCCAGCCCGTGTCTCCCTGCACTTCATTTAGTGTTTTTTCCATGCGCCCCCAGTGCCAGTATACCAACGCTCCACTGCCGAGTCTCGCAGCTCGAATGGACCTCAGACAGACCGAATGCAAACCCGGAGGTTGCCCACGCGGGAAGGCAGAGAACCCATTGTCAACTTCGAACTCTAGAAGCAGAGGGAACAAGAGAGAAAGAGGGGAACCCCAGATTCAGAAGCTCTTGCTGAAGCACAACACTGCCGTTCCTTCGAGCGCGTCGGTTGAACGACTCTTCAGCGTCGCCGGAAGTGTATTCTCAAGAAAGCGGGGAAACATAACTGATGAAAACTTGGAGAGATAGCTACTCCTTCAGTGCAACCGCTACTGAAAAGAAAACAATAAAGCATGAAACAAATGCAGCTGTGTATTTGGTCGACAAAGTAACGAAAAAAACACCTCGTTCCTTTTGAGAATCAGTAACGACTAGCGTGTTTAGCTGCTTTTTGAGTGAGTAACAATATTTAATTAGTATTTTTTTTTTTGGTGTGGGGGGGGGGGGCGGGGAGGATTGGGGGAGGGGGTATAATGTTGATATGTTTGCCTGTCACCGACTATAGAGAAAAATCGACTGCGCAAGATCTGAACTATCACATGCACGACTTAAAAAAAAAAAAAAGCGAACTGGAGGAATTTGTGTCACACAATCACATCTCGATCCGAGGCACAACAACGCCCGCAATCCAAGCAAGCGTTTCCGTCACCAACCCACCCACAAATCGCCTCGCCAAGCCTACACGCACCACGATCATGCGCCGGCCATCCGTCACCCATCCAAATAAACACAACGCCAAGTGAGAGACTCATCGGTTATCACCGCCGAAAAGCCAAGCGCAGCGAACGCCGCAAGCGCGAAAACGTAGTACGGAAACACAAACAAGAGACGATAAGCAGCCGATAGATTACGCAGGCGAAAACCACGCTCACGACGACTCGGTTCTCCAAAGTGTAGTGGCCTTCCTCGCAAGGAAGCGAAGCGCGCGCGGCGGGAAATCGGTGGATAGCTCACTTTTTTTCCTGACAAACGACACGACCCGCCAACGGAGAGAGCCAAGGGCCGATTACAAATCGATGAACCCGGCGCGATCTCGCCGTCCCAACTCAAGCGAGCGAGCGGCTGGCCGTCCTCAGACCGTTCAGCGGCGCATCCACGTATCCTCAGCAAGCAGCCAGCTAACAAGTCGGTCAGTGAGCGCCGACCGCGCGTGAAGACGCCCGGAGAGAACGCCTACGCTCTTCAAAAGCCTCGACACGCGGCGCTAATTCAGCGAAATGGGAAAACACGCTTCGATGGGCCCGCAGCACTCGTGCATCGCGCATCGAAAAGCATATACAAGACGGAAAGACAAAAAAGTAAAAAAAATAATAATAATCTACCCGACCCGAGGCGGGTCGTTCATTTGCATGCTCCCTTCTTTTGCGCGCGCTAACCACACAAAGCGAAATCGCTAAGCCTAAAATTTTGAGCTGGCTCACGGCGCCGAGACGGTGAAGGTGGTATGCAGTTCCCGATGAGGTCAACCATCCGTAGTTTATATTAGTTGCTAAGCACGCGGAAAATAATCCTAGAGTCTGAGGTGGGTTGCGATCTAGCGAAACTGTGCTAATCGACACGGCGTAGAGGCGGAAACAAAGCAGCTGAAGAGATTAATTGCGGAAATCGCTCGCGTAGTGAAATATACGACGAGGCCTTTTTTTGGATTGACGGGTCAACGCGCTTTGCTCTCAGATGTTGCTATATTTGACGGATGCGAATGAATGATGATGATGGGTGATGCGAAGGTGGATACTTTGGCTGCCTTACCGGCGGCGGCGACGGCGGGGGCTGCGGCGGGGGCTGCGGCGGATACCACCTGCTACATGCCCGTGTACACACCCAAATCATGCAGGACATCGTCGCAGATTATCCGCTGGGCCAGCACAAGTCGCGGAAGCACCGAAGACGATCGAAAACGGTCGCAGTATCCACTGGGCGCGAGGGTCACCAGATTGCCACATGGGCGCCAAAAACAACGCAACGGGCCATCTGCGTCCGGGACCGGAACGAAGAGGCCAAATCTGAAAACCCGCACTGACGGAAACGATTCAGTCAACTGGCAAACTTGTGACGTCACGTATCACAAGTTGAGGGGGACAAAGCTTGACAAAAAGATTTTGAAGATTTGGATTGGTGGATACTATATTTAGTAACAAATATAAAAGAAGTAAAACGCAAAAAAAAAAAAAAATGTGAGCGTGGGTGGCGCGGGGTGGGGGGGGGGGGGGGGGGGGTGAAAGAGAAGAGAGATAAGATAAGTTCCGGAAAGAGCAGCCGAGCCCCACGTAGTACGTCACAGTATTTCAAAAAGAGGTCAGAGCCGTTGAGTCGGCAAGATGACCAGTGTTCGTCAGCGGGCCCAAAGCACTCAAAATCCGTTGTTTGAAATAGTCTTGATTAGCTAAAAGTTACCCTCTCGGCTGCACCCTCCCCCATCTTTTCAAGCTCCATTTCCACCCTTCCTTTCCTGCTCTTTTCCTAACCGGGATCTCACGTGTACTGTGCGTGAAGTTAGGAGCGGGGGCAAAGCGTGTGTGTTTGGGGAGAACTGTTACGCGAATGCCCGCACATATATTTTAAACTATCAAAGTCTCTCTTCTACATTTTTTTTAGTTCGTTAACGAAAAAGTAAAAACATTTTTTTTTAAATATATATGTATAGTTTTTCATTTGTTTAGATGGTGCTACAGGGGCTAGAGGGGAAGTGTCAGAATCGGCGAGCGAGAGCTGCAGCCGGTCAGGATGCAGCGTTGGTGCTGTTGTCGACGCTGAGATGCGTCGTCCGCTGCGATTCGGGTGCTCTCTTGGTCCGCGAGTAAGTATCGCGTGCGATGTGGAAAGTTAAACTATGTTGATTTTGGACTTGTTTACGTAATCACAAGAATGAACCTGCCGATGCTTTTGTCATGCTTGAGCTACGCGTGGCGCCGAAGTGTTTCAGAGGCTCGAAGCGCTGGAGGGAGGATAAATGATTTACTTCACTTCTGGGCCCCCTGAGAAAAAGGAGGTAGGTCGGCTAATATCTGCCAAGAATAAGACGGCCGTTCACTCGGAATGTTAACACTGACACTTAGAATAAAGTCATTAAAAAATATGGAAACGCAGCTTCATTGTAACGTTGGCTTTATTTATATGAAATTAGAAAACGTTCGGTAGTAACCATCATTTAGAAAACAGCGGGAGCGAAGCAGTGTGTTTGCCGTGTTGCGTTGGGCAGGTCATACGTTGATCCTTCGCCGCGTGATCACACTCTCGTCCACATCCTGGTGCGTAAGATCAAATGATGAAAGGGAGGCGGCTGATTGGTCCGGCGAGAGCGTAGCTCCCACTGTACTATCATTTCCCGGCTCGCGCCACCTATCGTCGTCGTGATATACCAGCGCGCCGCCGCTGCTAGAAAAACGACCGCGCACGATCTCGCACAGTCGCCTATCTTTGCACCGGATGCTCCAGAAAACACGAAAACAATGACTGCGAAACGTGGCGAAACGGCACATGCCTGATACGAGAGAATGAACTTTCGAGGAAACACATAAATATGAATAGAGTGAAAAACGGCGCTTTTGTGCGCGAACGCGCTACCACCTTCCTTTTTGAACGGGGCTAGGAAGGGAAGGGAAAGCGGCGCAAGTTGGTCAAAGACGGCTCCAATCTTTCGCACCATCGGTGCTCTACGCGCGCACGCCGCACCGTAAATGAGAATGATATCCTGCCTTTCAAAGTCACGCGCCGGCTGGCGTCACTCGGTCGCGCCAGTTTGTTGGTTTATATTTACTATTGCCTGTTTGTATCACCTTTGTAGAAAAGCGCAGCGTCTGACATACCGCACAGCAGAGAAACAGTGTATGCTCAGAAGGCGTTCCACAGCCCAGGGGCCCTAAACTCGTCAAACACAAAGTTGCAGCCGAAAGTTCGCGAAGCGCGCTGATTGGACGTCGGCGAAAAAAGCGCAAAGTCATCGTCATGGTAGGCCAATCAGTTCGCTCGGTCAAGTACGGTCCAAACTTTGTCTTTGACGAGTTTAGGGCCCCAGCAGACAAAAATGGCAGCGCGCATGGATGGATGGATGGATGAATACGGCTGAGCCCTTTGGATCGGGCGGTAGCTTACGCCACCTAGCCATTTTGTTTTACCATTTAAGCTTAGAATATTTAAATGTGAAATCTATATTCACTCCGCAGTGCAAATAAAGTGAGGCTATGAAACCCCCTTGCCATCAGTGATTAAGAAAATACCTAGTTTTCTCTCGATTTCTGCCACCATTCACTTAATCTTTGCTTGGTAATCTCTACAGTCTTGAAATCCACTCTCCCTTCGCTGTCTCTAAAACCCAATGACTTTATTAAATCTATGTTGTCTTCGGTAGGCATAGGGTGAAGCCCTTTACAGTAGAGTATCAAGTGCTCAGCCGTCTCGTCCTCCTCGTCCGCAGAAGGCGATTTTCGGCGCCGCGTAGCGGCAACTCCGAGAAGCTCAGGGGAGGAGGTCGTTTCGACTCTGTCGTCTGCTATCGCTGCTCGGTTCTCGTGGGCAGCATAGAAACAAACATCGTTTCCAGGAATTATTTGTATGCTTCCACCGTGTCCTTCGTACGCACTGACTAGAAGAAGGTTTCTACCGTCAAAAAATCACTTTGCTTTCTTATGTAATCCCGATTCTACGCTGCAGAGCAAGACATTTATGGTGGTCCGGGTGCTGAACGACGAAAACGACCTCCTTTCGTCTGCCATTTTGCCTGACCAGCGCGCCCCCTATAGCTTGCTGGAGGGGAAGCTCGTTCCACTCCTTTTCATCTTAGCAGAGTGCAAGTTGGAGGGGAGGCGACCTCCTCTCCAACGTTTGCTCCGCGAAAGTGGAAAGAGGTGGGAGGAGTTTCACCCTGAACTCTTAAACTGTCACACGTATCGAGCCGCGTTCTCACTGATGACACATCATACAAACAAACAGTCTGCAGACACTGCTTGGGTCGCGTTTCTTTCATGTATGACGGCCCTGTCATGTTGGTCACACAAGAACTGTCGGCAGACATGTTTGCGCGGCAACTCGAGCACTACAACAAACTTTCCGCTTGTGCTC